ATGTCCTCAACTGTATATTGAAAACACAAATGTCATTTGACTTATGACATGTGAATTTGTGGTTGCCACATCCAACAAATTGTAGTTATTGATCAATATTATTGAAGATTTGACGAAGATTTAAGTTAAATCTACTGCCTTTCGAGATTTAATTTTATATGATAAATCTCAAAAGATTTAACGTCAAATCTCGTCAGAGGGCTAAATCTTCATTAAATCTCACAATGGAGACATAGTATAAGCCTCTCTAATCTGATACCCATATTATAATATGAGATTTATTTTATCAATTTAATTTAATTTGATACCAATATTGTCATATTTCATTTATTTTATCAATGCAATTTAGTTAACCTTTAAAACAGATGGCAACCCTTCTCACACATATTTTCGGCTGTAAGCCTTCTGAAAACTCTTTATTTTGACACCCACATGGCAATATCTCATTTATTTTATCAATTTAACTGAGTTAACATTTTCAATTAAGTGGCAACCCTACTCAAAAATATTTCCATCAGTCATCTTTCTTAAACCTCTTTAATCTGATACCCATATTATAATATGTCATTTATTTTATCAATTTAACTTAAAATTTTCAAACAGGTGTCAACCCTCAAAATTTTTGTGATATATATTATACGCAGCAATACTAAAAAAATTATTCAAATCGGTTCAGCCGTTCTCGAGTTTTGGTGACCGTGACATACGAACACAACATTTATATATATATAGACTTCTCAAATGCCTTTAGTTTGGTACCGATATTGTAACATTTCATTTATTTTACCAATTTAATTAAGTTAAATTTTCAAAAAGGTGGCAACCCTCCTCAAACATATTTTCTACTGTAGGTCTTTGTAAAACTCTTTAGTTTGCTACCCACATTGCAATATTTAATTTTTTTTAACAATTTAACTGAGTTAAAATTCTCAAATAGGTGGCAACCCTCCTCAAAGGTTATTTTAAAAGTCTTCTTTTTTAAACCTCTTTAATTTGATACCTATATCAATTAAACTGAGTTAAATTTTCAAACAAGTGGCAACCCTCCTCAAACATATTTTCGGCTGTAAGCCTTCTTAAAAATCTAAAGTTTGATAACCAGATTACCCTATTTCATTTATTTTATCAAAATAACTGAGTTTAAATTTTCAAAGATGTGGCAATTTACTCAAAAATATTTCCAGCAGTTATCTTTCTTAAACCTCTTAAATTTAATATCTATATTGTAATATGTATATCATTTAGTTCATCAATTGAACTGCGCCAAATTTTTTAACAGGTGGCAACCCTCCTTTAATATATTTTCGACTGTAAGCCTTCTTAAAACTCTATAGTTTGATACCCACATAGCAATATGTTATTTACTTTATCAATTTAACTGAGTTAAAATTTCAAAATTGGTGGCAACCCTTTTCAAAAATATTTCCAACAGTTATCGTTCTTAAACCTCTTTAATTTGATAATCATATTGTAATATTTCATTTATTTTATCGATGTACTTTACTTAAATTTTCAAACAGGTGACAACCCTCTTCAAACATATTTTCGGCTGTAAGCCTTCTTATAACTCTTTAGTTTGACACCCACATAGCAATATTTCATTTCTTCATCAATTTAACTGAGTTAAAATTTTAAAGTTGGTGGCAACTCTTCTCAAAAATATTTCCAACAGTTATCTTTCTTAAACCTCTTTAATTTGATACCCTTATTGTAATATTTCATTTATTTTATCAATGTCATTTAGTTTAATTTTCAAACAGGTGGCAACCATCCTCATAAATATTTTTGACTGTAAGCCTTCTTAAAACTCTTTAGTTTGAGCAATATTTCATTTTGTTTATCAATTTAACTGAGTTAAAATTTTAAAATAGGTGGCAACCCTCCTCAAAAATATTTTCATCAGTTATCTTTCTTAAACCTCTTTAATTTGATACCCATATAGTAATAATTCATTTATTTTATCCATATAATTGGGTTTAAAAATTTTCAAATAGGTGGCAACCCTCCAATTTTTTGCAATATCATTGGTTCTGGTATTATACCGAACAATACAAAAAAAAATTGTTCAAATCGGTTCAGCCGTTCTCGAGTTTTGACGACCGTGACATACGAACACAACATTTTTATATATATAGATAGAAAAATATATAAATAGGTGGCAACCTTAGTTTAGATATTCTGTTTGAAAGCTATTTCAGTCCTCTTTCAGTTGATATCAAATTTGTTTAATTTGAGTAAGCGGTTTGTTTATTATTATGAAAGGACTTTTATTGCGGACTTAAAAAATATTTAGTAAAGTTTAACAGTTATTACTGGACTAAAAAAATTCAAATCCGAATTTTTAAGTTATTATTGGATTTTTTCCCAAAAAGTTCGAAAACTAAAATGAATCCAGGATTCTTGTCCAGGAGGTCCTGGGATCAAAGGAGCATTGATAACTTTACTTTGCTCCGGACTTAAAAAAAACAAAACAAAATAACTGTTATTTCCGGTCCTTGCTTTAAACTGAGGGGTACACGGCGAACTTTTTTTGAACGCTTGTTAGGTGGTACAGTCTAATGTACATGCCACACACACGCCTATGAAGAAATGAGATGCACAATTTTGCATATACAAACTATGTACAAAGTTATGTATGTATGTATGTATGCACTTTTATGTATGTTGGATAACAAACCATCAACATCTGTCAGAATTTGATATGGTACATTGTTTGCATTTCATTTCTTTAAATTACTGTTTTATGTACTTATTTATTGGCATAAATTAATGAGAATCGCTTCATTTAGTTTGTGATGACGTGAGCCACCTAACGCAGTGACAGCCATGGGTGTACTTATATTTACGTATTTAGCAAACACATTTAGTTTGTGCATATTTCATACACGTATACGCTTATAGATAGGACAAGTCGATTAATAGCTGTTTGTAAACAAATAATTTTCGATTTAATACTGTTTTAATAAAATGCTGCTCATTAATTGATATTCACAGCGCTGATCGAGTGAACGTTGTTGAAATTCTTGAAATTCTACAAAAACAAAATGCCGTGTGATGCATTTAAATTTTCAAAATTCTTATACATACAAGTTCTAGGAATTGGATATACATACATATATTCAGCTTATAAGACTTAATCAGATTGACATGACAGAATGTACGCAATGCTATCAATGCATTTCATTAGAAAACTATAGCTCGATTCGTTTGAAAAGATGTGATGCTTTTGTTAGAGAACTAAGCTTCCGCGTTAGCTTCTAAACATTTGAATAGGTTCATTATTGTTGCAGTTCGAAGAAAGTAACCCACTTTATACGCTGTCAGAAAGAAGTGGAAAAAAATACTACTAATCTGACTATACTTCGAACTTTTTGATGTGAAACTTCTTTAGCGGCGGTTGGTTGGTTGGGAGTAAAATGGCAAATTCAACGAAAATGATGCAACGGAAATGGTTGGGGCTGAAACAGGTGCTTCTTGAGTGAATGCACATTGTAGGACTTTAACAAAAACTTGCTAATAAAAGGTTAAAGAATAACAATTAGAAAAAGACCAATACAAGAACGAAAGTAAAGTGTAGTACGTAGATAGATAAAGAAAAAGATAAAGGCAAAGGCAAAAATAAAAACAAAAACAAAGAAGCGTAAAGATAAAGGCAAAAATGAAGATCAATGTAAATTTAAACACTTTATTTAAGTGAAGGGGAATATGTAGATGGAGAAAAGTATTAACACAAAAGTAAAAACAAAAATAAATATAAAGAAAAGGATGAGGATGAGGATACCGATAAATGTAAAAATGAAGATAGGGGAGCAAGAATAAAATAAAGGTAATTATAGAGAAAAGGATATAAATGGAGACACAGAGACTCAATCTGTGAACTTTTTTGGGATATTAGAGATTTTTCGGATTCTCAGGACTTATCGGTATAAAAATCGATATTTTTATCGCTTTTGTTATCGATATTTTTATCGATTTTGCTGTCGATATCTTCGGAACCTATTGATATAATAATCGATATTTTTATCCATTTGATTATCGATATTTTTATCGATTTTGTTATCGATATTTTTATCGATTTTGTTATCGATATTCTTATTAGGTTTGTTATCGATATTGTTGCAGATTTTATTATCGAAGTTGTTATCGATATTTCACAGTTCACAGTTTTGTTAAGCGAATACTCTCTCTCTGTGCCAACGGCGGACATAAAATTTCATTGATTAAGTGCGCACATATCATTAAATTATTAATAGTACCCGTTAGATATGAGTCGGGGACTAATTGATCTACAATTATACCCGTAAGGGACGAGTCGAGTATCACAAATTTTTTGCAGGGAATAGATATGTAACGTAAGTTTCACTTCTCCAGTGTTGCCCGGGCGCATTTACATTTTTTTTAACTTTCAACACCATTCTGACAAGTTCAATTAACTCAGACATGACAGCCTCTGCATAGATGGTTGGCTGGTTGGACTCATCTAACAATTGCTTGCCATCAGATGGAGACATGGTAATTGTAAGTGACACATGGCAACCGCTCTCAGTTCACTGGCTATATCATCAAAGAAGCGCGGTGTAGAGCTAAGCCCAGCTAGAGATGTCAGTGGCAAAAATGCATCGACGTTTTTCTTTGATTCGATGCATCGAAGCGCATACATCGTTTCGGCGATTTGCATAGGATAATGTTTCGCAACAAAATATGTATGTTATTAGCACAATTGTATAAAATTTTAAATAAATTACTACAACTGAGCTAATTATTTTTCTAACGGAACTTTTTGGAGTCATTTAAATTTTTTGGTAAAAGTCACTTTTTTTTTTGTACAATTGAAAAACTGCAATGAAGTCTCAATATACTAGAGATGACAGTTTTCAAAAGCCATCATACTCAGCCATAATTTGCTCAAAATCAATCGGAAAATCAATGCAAATTATTTAATAATATTTTTATACATACCTTTAAATAATATATGTGTATGTATGTATGTATGTACTTACATCCTTGCTCCAGTTGACCCAATACTCAATGGGGACATCGTACGGAAAGTCAATGAGACAATTGAACACCACATGCGAGCCGACCTTCGCCTCCAGATGTGTCTGCTTGTGCAGACGATCGCGCGTGCATGCCGCACAGGATATATTAATCAAGAAAAGCAACGTAAATGCGAGTGCCACCATAGCGGGACGTAGTGCAGCGGTGGTGACCACCACCGGCTTGTTTTCGTTACTGTGATTATTGTTTGTGTGGTATTTGTTGTTGCTGACATGACTTGGCTTGGCATTTTGCACGACGTCGTTGCTATTATTGCATAACCAACAATTCATTATCGTAGCATCTGTTTCACTTGCTGAAGCCGTTGACATTGTTGTGGTTTTTGCTGCTGCTGCTGCTACTGTTGATGTTTCGCCTGTTGCGGATTTCATACTTGTTTCATTTGCTTTCGCTATCATTGTTGCTTCGCTTCTGTTATTTATCATGGTTTTGCACTTATTTGCTTAATGCCACGCGAATGCGCTCCTTCATTGATGTTTGCGATGGGCGGCAAATGAATGAGGTGGGAGGCTAACAGCGAAAAGGCAACAGCAGAAGCAAAGGCAAAGGCGTTGGTGAAGGGAGGTGGGGCAGTGGCAGCGAGGCAATTGCTGCGACGACTGTGGCAGCAATTTCAACTAATGTTAATGATTTTTCGCCTTATTGCACTTTTGTAATTGAATTATTTACTTTGGCATTTCTCGCCTTTTATTTGTTAAGTAAAAATTTTGCTGAAGAATTTCAAAGCGTTGTGTATTGTTTTTAGTCGTTTTAGTTATGTATTGTTGTGTGGGTGGAAGTGCACACAGTATCTATTATTATTTCACTTTTCGCATTTATCTAATATTTGATTGGATTAGTTGGGCCTTTGTTGTTATTTTGCTATTAAATTTAACTAAGCAAGTTCTTAAATATAATTTTTTCTTTGCAAATAAAGTACACTTTTTAAATGTTCACTCATACCATCTGTGTTAATAAATTATGTATGTTTTTGTGGGTATGTTCATATGTACTGACACTAATAAAAAAGAGCAGACTAAGTGGAAACGCTAGGAAACCCAATAAGGACAGTTATCATTGGCTACTACAGTCCTTAAAAAATAATAAATTTAATTTTGAGAAAAAATCAGATAAAATCTCGAGAACGAGAAGAGATAGCGAAATATGTAGCTGTAACGGTATTTTAAAAAATTTTTAATGTGGAATTCAGGAAAAATAGTCTCGTTGGATAAAAGAATAACCTTGACTCTTAAATGACGTTCAAATAGAGAATGTTTTCTTTTTCTGACCTGGAACCAGTATCCAATCAACTTTTTAAAAGTCTTAAACAAACATTTTTGCTGTTCTTGCAGAAAGGAATCCATATCCATAATCAATCACTTCAATTTAATTTTTTTTTCAAAGCTCCTGGCATCCTGTTTTTAGGTTAAAAAGAGAAAACAAAAAAAGCAAAAAACAAAAAAGGTTCCTTTCGAAAACCGGATTTAAGTTAAGAGTAATATTTACTTCATTCAATGAGACCTTTAAGTATATTTGGAGGTCATGTTGAAAGTCAATGTAATTCTTTCACACCACGAGACTATTTTTCCTGAATTCTCCACCTCAAAGTTTTTAAAATGCCGCTACATCTATTTCGCTGTCCCTTCGCTTTCTCCAGATATTTGAATTTGTCCAATTTTTTCCAAAATAGTAGAATCGGAAATTTGGTCGTCTGCAATGCGGACGTGTTTTGTTATCTTTTTAAAGGTAGTTTATAAAAATAATAACATCGAAATATTTTTATAAAATAAATGATATTCCAACAGGGAGCCACCAAAGTCAACAACGCACACTGGTTTGATTGTTTTGCATAAATCAATTCTTAGGAAATCCCTTCCTTGCTATAAAGCCATATACAACCAGGGACGAGGGTTAAGAGCAGAAGGTGAGCTGCCAAAATTAGGCCGTCGGAAAAACACACGTGGGTTACGGAAGGTCAATAAACTTACGGGAAATGGTAATTTATGAAGTTAATGACTCTCACAAAGACCCAACGTTAAACTTACAGCCATCCCTAAATTGGCGCATCAATCGTCAAGGAAGGCGCTAGCGCTGTGCAAATGGAATTTTAATTTTTTACAGTGCGCACATACGGAAAAAAAGAGAGATGACAAGCAAGTGAAAGAGGAAAGGAGAGGTAATGAGAAAACTTAAAAATTACTCCGCGTTGATTTGGGTATAGCGCTCGCTAGCACTCGTTGGCATTGGAAAACGCAACGCTTAGCGCTCATATTTAGGGACGGCAGATAAGCGGGTATGCTGAAGGGGGTGGATATATTCGAAGGCTTTCTATTTCCTTCTCGGAAAATAGTTGGTCTCTTTATGACTGTATTGGCCGATTCTATCATCAAAATGGAATGACCTTAAATATGCCGGTAGTCTGGAAGAGCTGCGATATTGGATCATCCAAAGCCAGCTGAGACAATCGTTCTCAATCGTATTATTAAAACAAATTTTATATAAAAATGTACAGTAGCGGCTCGGTAATACGGACACTCGATAATCCGGACACCCCGGTAATCCGGACACCAAAATAAATTGCATTGCACACTCTGTAATCCGGACACTTGCATTAAATGTTTCCCTCAGTAGTCCGGACATCGGTTTTTGCGATATGTAAACGTTACAATTCAAATGCTGCAATACTAAAAATTCGAAAAAAATCCAGGCAGTTTACAGTTATGCAGCGTCTGGCTGGCGCCTTGATGCTTAAATTCTTACATTCAGCAGGTGCTTTATTTTATAGTTTAATTTTGGTGTTGAAGTGGCACAATGTCGGGCATTCATAAGAAAATCTTTTTAACCATTGACAAAAAAAATGAAATAATTGCTGAGTTAAAGAAAGGCGCATCTATAAGACAGCTTGCTTTGAAATATGGAGTAGGGAAATCGACAATAAGTGACATTAAAAAAAAACAACAGAAACTTCAGAGGTAAGAGTAAAATTATAGAAAAATCTTTAAGTTGTGCAAACTAATATGCACACTATTTGTAGTTTTTTTGGGCAAATGGAATGTGGACTTGATAAAAGGAAAACTATGAAACGCGCAGAGTATGAAGAGATGGAAAGACAACTCTATAATTGGTTTTTGAAGAAAAGGCAGCAAAATGTTCCTATCTCAAGTGATCTTTTACAAGAAAAAGCGAGGGAGTTGTTTCACGAAATTTATGGCGGAACTGCGACTTTTTTTGCAAGTAAAGGTTGGCTGTATAATTTTCAATCCCGATTTGGTATCAAGCGGTTGACGATTTCGGGAGAAAAGCTGAGCAATAACGAAAGCGCTGTTAAGCCGTTTGTTAATGCATTCAAAGACAAATTATTGGAACTTAACTTGGAACACTGCCAATTGTACAATGCCGATGAAAAAGCACTGTTTTGGCGAAAACTTCCTGATAAAACTTTAGCTTTGCGAGCTGAAAAATCTGCTCCCGGAAGAAAAGTGGGAAAAGAGAGAATAACTGTCCTGTTATGTTGCAATGCCACAGGTGAACATAAACTTAAACCACTTATTATAGGCAAGGCACAAAACCCACGTTCGTTTAGAGGAGAGAACTTGCTTGTAGAGTACACCCACAGCAAAAACGCTTGGATGACGGACATGCTCTTCAAGAGATGGTTTACTTATTCCTTTATACCTGAAGTAAAGTCGTACTTGGAAAACAAGAACTTGCCTAAAAAAGCACTCTTATTATTAGACAATGCAACGGGTCATTCCCCTCAGCTAGTAACCATTAGCGAAAATTTCCATGTTATGTTCTTACCTCCAAATTGTACCG